GTTTTGGCTCATCGCCGTCATCATAATAATAAAGGTGTTGAAAGAAATCAACCAGATAAATCGAATCGGAAACCCTAAACCCCGAAACTAACCAAACAATCTAATCGGTAACCCTAAACCCCGAAAACAACTCAAAGTTTTTTATCGGTCCAAAACAAATTGCAGAAATATGACTCCTTGAATTATTTCATGTGTGTACGATAGTTTACAATATATGGAGTAAGGCTAAATTCTTTTGTGGAAAGATTCCTAAAGAGATTACAATTAAGTATTAATTACTTGACATGCACGAAGCATTAATTTCTTCGTCAAGCCGTCGTGTCGTTGGCTGCTTTGCTTTGCTTGCCTTGTATCTTATCTTTTGGGTTGATTTTGCTTTTATTGTCGTTAATTGGGCTTCCTACTACTTCATCCAACGGTCACGGTGCACTTAGAGCAAACCCTAGATTAACCAAACAGTTTGTCCCAAAACAAAGCATGGAGTTCACATCATGAGTTACTTTTTGGCTTTCTTTGTTGCTATGTTCCTTGGAACTTTGCTTTAATCTCAGGCTTATTTTTAGCTACGCTCCTTAGAACTTGATTTTGATCCTACTTTGCACCTAAAATTCCAAAGTCGTCACTTTGCTCAAAGAGTTGGACTTTGATCTCACTTTACCCCTGAAACTCAACAGTCGCCACGTTGCTCCCTGGAACTCTAGTTCAATCATACTTTGCCCTCTGAAACTCAAAAGTCTCAACTTTACTCCATTAAAGTCATCTCCAACCGAAGGGTCCAGAGGGTCAGATGGTCGAAAATAGCCCGAAAACCGTCTCCAACCGAGGGCTAGGCCAGATGGCTGTAGAATTAGAGAGGGCCCCACGAAATTAGAGAGGGCTAGAGGGCTAGAAGGCTGGAAGGCTGGCTGCATGCCAGCCCGGCGCTGGCCAGAAAATAGAGCATTCTTGTCGGTTATAACCGACATGAATATATTTATATTAAAAATTAAATGTATTCTTGTCGGTTATAACTAACAGGATTGCTTAAAAAAAAAAATTTGAATACAATGGCTAGTCACCTAGCCAGTGTATTCAATAATTTTTTTTTGTTTTTTTTTTTTAATTCTTAAAAATTCTAATTTTTTTTTTCCTATAAATACCTAAACCATTCATTAAATTTAAGTTCTAATTTTTTTGGTTTTTTGGGATAGTTATTGTTGTAGTTTTTAAATTTAAGTTGTTGGATTTGAATTTAAGTTGTTGTAGTTTTTAAATTTAAATAATGAATTATGTTTGGCCCTATGACCCTTTGGCCCTCGGTTGGAGACGGTTTTTCGTGACAGGGCTAAAACGAGCCCTTTGGCTCTCGGTTGGAGATGGAGGCAAATATGGCCATGTACTGTTCATTAAAATATTAATATCTTGGAGAATCTTGGAGGTACAGAGGGCTAAAACGAGCCATCTGGCCAACCATCGGTTGGAGATGACCCAAATAACTGTTAAGTTTACTTATATGGTATAATTAGGACCCACTGGTGGCTGACGTGGCACAAGTACAAATTAAGGTCACTTCAAGTTGGCCTAAAAAAATTCAATTAAGTAAACATATAACACTTTAAAACCCTACTTAATTAATAATTGAAAACATTATTAGCAACTGCAAGAACACGTACGTGATACACTCAAAACCATAATACAATACAAAAGCTATCAGCAAGAGTACGTATATATATTATGAATAAAATCACGTATCCCTTATTCATTAATCATTATTTTTATTTTTTTTAGTACATATTCATCAATCATTATTAAAAGTATACTTTTCTTCACCTCCATGCATAAACCATATATTAACCTCTGTATTATGTTATTGTAATAAAACCGTGTAATCCCGCTACTCCTCTTTCTCTCTATCTCTCATCATGTGATGATCATGCGATGAGGGAAAAACGGAAATATACTCCTGGTTACATTCAAAATTCTACACAGATAACCAAAACTCGATCGACTTCAAAGATGATTGCATCCCTCTCTCTTTCTTCAACTCTATGAAACTTCAGCTTAATTAGTTCACTTGAGATATCATCTCCACCAAATCCATCTCCTTCTTCACTTCATTACTCTCCCAATCCACTTGCATCTCGACATCAAAATCCTTCTCATCAAAATTACCCTTGTCAACATTACCGTAGTCAATCTGATTTTTACCATCAAAGTTACTGTTCTTCTCACCAACATCAGGAGCGCAAGGGATGTCATCGAGCAGAGAGTCGATGCTACACCCTTCCTCGAAGATGTTCTCGTCGAAACAAAAATTGGGGTCCTCATTGAAATCGTTGTAGCTCGGAACCAACTGATCATTTGCGGATGAAAACTCCAGGTTGGTTTGTGGCTGATGAGCAGCTGCAGCTGCTTTGGTGCTGGTGCTGACACCGTTGTTGTTAGCTGAACTGTTCTTTCGCTGCCGCCCTGTGCTGTTGCTTGCCGAGTCTAGGTTTAAGCTCTTGATGTATTCCTGCAGAACGGAGCTTCTAGCGTACTTTGATCGACATTTTCGCTTGGAATATTGTCGCCTTTTCGTTGCGTTCCAGTGGTTTTTGATGGAGTTTTCGGTCCTTCCGGGCAGTCTCTTTGCAATTTCTGCCCACTTGTTTCCTATTTCTGCATGAGCTTGTATCAGTATCTTGTCCTCCTCCTCACTCCATGTGTCCTTCTGGAAAACGAATAAAGTTGACATTAATAAAACAAAACAAAACCATCTGCATCATTTTCTTTTATTAGATTTGTACCACGCGTTACTACACCACTAACTATTAGTAATTTCGCGGTACGCAACTAGACATGAATGTACGTGTGATTCATGTAGCATTACTCGCCAAGTGTATTGCAACCTAAAAACAATTTTCATGTAATTAGCATGTTTAGTTCTATAATGATCATTCATGTTTGGGATCGCTTATTTATAAAACACTTGTAAGCGCTTTTATTCAAAATTCAAATACTTCATGAAGATGCACTTGGGAAGTAATTCCGTGGCAGGTACTTCCCAATCCTATGACCCATAAAATTTTCAAGCAAACATAATCTAAAGTACTTTTGGTTGTTATAAAGCGCTTTTCACTCTTCTAAAAACAATGCTAAACAAGTATAAGTCAGTCGATTATCGAATACCTTGATGTCAGGCCTTAGGTGGTTATGCCATCTCTCCCTACATTGCTTCCCAATTCTCCCAGGCAACATCTGAGCAATGTGAGACCATTTCCTCACTCCAAATTGCTCAACAAGTTGAATTAAGAGCCTGTATTAACACAAATTTCACATTAATTAGAGATCTTAAGCTACCTAAAAATGCAATTAAAGTTTTAATCAGTTTTTACCTATCTTCCTCAATTGTCCATTGACCCTTGACCACATTTGACTTCTTTCGACCTTTCACCGTTGACCCTTGTGTTACTTCAGTAACTCTGCTTTTACCATTCATCCCAAATTTTCTGTAGTACGCATTTTGGTCTGCATTGTTTATGCAGGAGACCTCATCCGGCACCAAAAAGTTCACGGGTTTAATATCTTGAGAGCAATCCAACGGCAGGAAATTAGTGGCAGTCATATGAGATAAAGTTCCCACCACATGATCTAACGGATTTGATGATCTGTGATGAGTTGAGAATTTCAAGTAGGACCCACCTTGGAAGTTGTCCAAAACTTGGCCATGGGCCCCATTGTTTTCTGCAACATTTAGAGGCTTACATTCGTAGAAGTTCACATCTTGATGAGATGAATTTTGATCGTACGGGTAGGATGTGTCGTTGTACGGATCAAAACATGGGGAGTGGGTCCCAAACATAGGGTTTGACGAGGAGACATTGACCTGAAATTGATGATCAAGGTGGTGAAAATCTTGAAGGTAATTGTAGTTTCCTTTTGAAGACGAAGACCCTTCAAAAAGCAACTCGTCTTTTGTGGTACAAGGTTTGACATAATTCTCCGGTGCGAGCAACGGAACGTAAATTTGAGAGACGAGGTTTTCTCTGAGATTGTTGAGCTCCATTAAAGATGCTCTAAGCAAAATATGCTAGAGTTTAGTGGTGGGAAAATGGGGTAGCTTCTGTTTTGGGAGCTGTCCCTATTGTACTCTTGCTTGCTTAAAAGGTGAAGGAGGAAATGCATTTATTATAAATATAGATCGTGACTGTTGATCTTGCTTCATTCAACGGTCAAGATTGGTCGCGGGAGCTAAATTTACATACTTTTGCCACTAGGGTTTTCTTTGTTGGTCTCAAAATTTGGCTCCTATAAATTTCTCCTTAATTTGTTGGATATTATCCCGACTGTAATTAAATCCATTAACTCAAGTTCTTAAGTATGTAATGGCGTTATGTGATGTTTATTTAGCAGAAAATGATTTTGACACCCCAGTTTTCTCATCTTAGAGACCCATTTTATTTTTGGCCCTTTGATTAAATACATTAAACGAGAATTAACGGACTAAAATTAACACGAGTGTGCAGAAAGAAAAGAGAGTCATCTTTTGGTTCATGGCCAAAGAAAGTCAAAGTCAACTAGGACAAATTTAAGAGTAAACATCGGTTTTACTCCAATTAATGAAGTTAATTTGGTAAAAGTCGTTAAGAAAGACTTCACTCTTAGAAGCTGTCAAATATATTAATTGTAATGGTTTGCATAACGCCAAGCATTTTATTGCCTCTTTTGGTTAACTGTTTTTAATTAAATTTAAAGTTAAAAATTAGGAATGTCACAGAAATGAGTTTGGTTTGCATTTACGGGTGCGGAAAATGACTTTGCGCCCCCGTTTCACCTTCTCATTCTTCTCTTTTGTTCTAAGCCCCTTGGACTGAATAAATCAAAGGAGAATCGAGGGCTTACAACAAAAGAGCATAGTGCAGGGAAGAAAAATGGAGTTCGTAACTATTTCCCTAAGGGCATTTACCTTGACCCAAGGGCCTCTGTTCGGATTCCCCAATATCGCTTGTACCAACAAAAATTGCCAAGCAACCCGCAACTCAATCTCCGAATACGAAATAGAATTCACTCTTACAATTTTGAATGAACAAGATATGGAAAGATTTCAAGTTTCCCAAAGAGAGTTTTGTTGTACATACTAATCAAGCAAATAGCGAAAAGAATAATGGCACTTCTCTATGTCACATCTTCAGAAGCAGCAATGTGTTTCGGGGTGAATGCTAATATAGCATTTGCTTGTGAAAAATTGTAAAACTTGAAGCAATCGAAGAGTTTATGTTATATGCATCGTTGCTGGAAAGCTTTCTCAGGGTTCTTCCCATCAATTTCTGAGTGGTGAGGGAAATCATAAGGCATTTCCGCGGCAGAAAGCCATGCTTCGCTGAAAACTTTGATGACTTCTTGGTGGACAACAGCATTGCCTTCTGGTGTTAGGTGCAACCCATCACTGCGACGGAAAAAAAAAGGATTAAGACAGATTATTCAATCTCTCACACTGTCAAACACTTATCAGATGTAAATTAAGTATTTCTAGGACTAATTTAGAGTATATCTATCGTCGTATAACTTTGATCCCCATTTAATGATCACAAAAGTATTAGATGATCTTGATCTGACTATCATGGCCGAATCTAAGACATTAATCAGTAAATAGTGCTTCTTTTGCATGGGAAGATCTGGTTACAACCACTTAATGCTCAATTATTCCATAAACTATACAAGTTGAAGCTTTATAAGATGGCAAACCTTAGAAATTTCTTCTGCCAACCCTCCGTTTCCTGCATTGCGGACCAAAGATTGATGGAGCGTAGACCCATGTCCTCAGCCAGCTTAATGCACTTCTTCGCATAAACTCCTGTCACTTCATTCATCCTTTCTGGAAGTCCACTAGCATCCTTACCATATAAAGATCTGTGAAACCCAATTAAACAATCAAAATGTTAGGAACCAATAACATGAACATTGCGAAGAGCAACAATAAGACAATTATGTGTGTAGTAAGTTCTAAAATGAGAAGAGTAAATCATACCGTGCAAATTCATTACGGCCATCCTCGTCAACAGGTGGTGGAGTAATAAGCACAATCAAAATGGTGGGAGAACACTCCTGCAATCAAAACTCCTATATTCGATGAGAAATAGGTTAAACAATTGACCTGAAAACAGTTGCCCCTTAGAAAGTCCCAAGATCATATATGAACACATTCTGGAAATCAAAGACCCTGAATTCACGGGAAGAAATAAGTGATCATATGCAATGAATTAGCAGTTCTACGTGTGATTCAAAAACAAGGTCCAAGCAATTGGTTAGCCTTAAGCATTTCCTAAACTTCAGTACTATAAGACATATTCTACTCGAGATTAAGGTATTGACAGAACACTTAGAAAGAGACGGCGGCAGTTATGGTTTCTTGGACAAGCGATGATGTGAATACAACTCACAGGCAAGATAACGAGCTGATGCTTGAAATTGTAGAAGTTCCGTTATCAGTCTTATACCATTGGTAGTTATTAATAGCTCCTTCGGTCCTTCCAAAAGTAAATTACCCACAATGTCGGTATTATACATAAAATAGCATCTATCAGACAATGAGGATAAATACTGAATTGGCAAAACTAAAATATTCATTAAGAAAGGTAAACAAATTTGAACCTTGAGATGAAGAACAATTTTTCTGAGATTCTCCTTGTACTCTTCAACGGGAACATGTTGCCGTTCCCCTGTTCTGCCTAAAACAGCCGCGTCATTGGCCCCAAAGAAAATTGTGGCAGCAGCAGGAGGTTTCTTAGAATCCTGCACATTCAAAGTGGGATACTATCACTTCCATAAACGTTTCCGCATCAATCAAATCCTATCCTTTTGTCACATAATGGCGGCCATCACTTCTACGATTTTCGCATACGCTTCCAAAACCTACACTTATTTCCCTCATATCATACGAGTCATATGCATACTGATCACATATCTAATCTAACATCTCAGTATGATAACTTGATCTATCAGCAATACTATCAAATACTAGCAAACAAAGACATTGACTTTCTGAAATCAAACGCACAATCAGAAATGTGAAGCAATACGAGCGAGAAATCGAACAAAAACCCAATTTAACTACCAAAAAACTAATTCGAATAAAACCCAATAAACGCACTCCAATGCCAACAAACCAGAAAAGCTTTTACCTTTAAAGACGATACAGTAAACAATTGCAGAGGATGCAGCATAAGAATTTACCAAAGGAAAGAGGTGCTGCAGCAAGAACAGTGCCCATCTCGTGTTGTACCCTCCATACCCACGAACTTTTACATCGGCCTATCAAACACCATCACAAAAAATTACCAACATTTCCTGATTTACATTAACAGTTAGAAAGAGAGAGAGACCTTGCGGGAGTAAGAATCAGCTAGAGCGGCGCCCCAGCCACCTGATCGGAAGGATTGTTGGGTGATTGAGTCTCCGAACAACACAATCTCAGGCCTCATCGTCCTTGCTTCTTCTTCTCTGTTCCTACGCTTTTTTCTGTTGACTCGCTCGGGTGACAGTTGAGACTCTTGTTTTGTTTATTTCATACCAGCTTATGCCACAAACTTTATGTGTGAATATAATTTTAATTTTAAAATGGAATGTCACTTAGTACTACAATTTAGTGGTATTTATTTTAACAATTGATATTATCTACGCTAAGAGGGAGAAGGTGGGCTTAGCCTCACATTGAGTTAGAAATAATTTGGTTTAAATTCGCCTTTGGCAGCCACTTAGTATTAAAAGCGAATTTGAACAACATTATTGCTAGCCTACCCCATCTTCTTTAGTATAGATAATATCGTTTGTTAGAAGAAAAAAAATGGAAGGGGAAAAAATGAATGTGGATTAGAGAAAGAAGTTTTTATTTTTATACTTTATTTTTCAAAATTAGAAGATGTTAGGATCACTCATGAGTGAGACTTTGGAAAAAAACCTATAAAATTTGGTTTGTGTGAATTTATTTTATCGCCCATGATTTTGTTTTGTGGTTGACAAAAAAGATTTTATTAACGTGAGTTTAAATTATGTAAAAATTTTTATTTTTGTTTTCAAAATTGAAAAAGAAAGTAAAGAAGAAAACAGTTGACCAAACAAATGAGGAAAGGGTTAGTAACGTAAAATCGGATCCTTATTTCAAAAAGCGAAAGAATTGAAGGCCGCCGCTTTAAATAACAGGATGAATCAAACAGACATACCTCTGCAACGGTCGACTGTTCAACTCCGAAGATGAGAATCCCAGAAGAGCAAGAGATATCTCCAGACGGCGTCGTGGAAGGTACGCTTCCTTCGACGAATCTATGCAAGAAATTATCGTTTCCATTTAATTCTTTATAAATCGAATTTAGTCAAAGGATCGATTCAATCAGGGATGCGTTTTGAAATTTGAATTTTACCGTTTGTACAAAATTGAAGTTCTTTTGAAAAAATTAGGGTTTAGTTTTCACAAATTTAGCGTTCCTTTTCTGGATTGAATGTTAGCTTGAATTGACTGGAATTCTCCGGGTCATTCTGCAAAATTGGATCATCGACAGAGCGCTCTGGCAGTTGAAAAGCGAAGCAAAATGTTGGCTGCTAAGGTCAGATAAAACCCCTTAAGATTTTCGATTCCTGGTTAACAATTCTTTCTCTGGTGTTTCTTTTGGGTGAAGGCAATTCTGACATCTGCGAAGCGGCATAGGGCAGAATCGGGCAAGTGGTGCGGAACCGCGATTCTTGGTTCTTCTGCTGGTTTCAAGTTGTTGTAGTCCCAAGTTTGTACGATCGGGCAAGTGGTGCGGAACCGCAATTCTTTGTTTATTAATTTCTGACGTCGTTTTCCCATTTTTTAAGCAGTTAATGTCCCAAGTTTTTAAGCTTTATACAGAAAGTGACACTGCTAAAGCTGATGTCGGGAGCAGGTAATTGGGGTTTTAAACTTGTGTAATTTCATTTCGATTACCGAATGTTATGGTTTTAATCAATATCTAAGTTGTTTTAGAACATTAAGGTTTCGTTATTGGCAACCATCTAGATTGTAGGGAGGAATTATATCTGTTTGCCCCTTTTAATTTCAGGACTTACGCAGCAGTTAACCAAGTATGGACTCGGGAGAACACAGCTGCTTTAATGGTATATATGCATACAGATGGATGTAACTATAGATGCTAATAAAGATGTGTGCAGGTTTAAAGCTCCTTGCTGTTGCATTGATCTAGTATTGTATTTTTTGTATCTTTTTAGGGTTTCAATGGGTACAGCCGTTAGAACTGTGAATTTATCATCGAGGAGATCCTTCCTGGTAAGAATGTTAAATCCTAGCGTGTCGTTTCCTTGTAACTGTCTTATTTACATGATTGTGTAGTATGTTTTTCCTGTGAATTCGATACATGTTTCTCTATGCAATCTAAAAAAGAACAAAAGAGCCTTCATATGTCAATTATCTCCACTAGTCTTAAGATCTATTAGTTATTTTCAAGGGTATATTACACAAAACTACCTCAACTATGGGTTGAACCACAATCTCATACCTCATGTTTTAAACATTGCAATGTCGTATCTTAACTTATGAATTCGTTGCAATGTTAGACCTCCATTAATTTTTTTGTCAATTTGGTTGTTAAATGATGAAGGGGCAAAAGCGAGGCCCACCCTTTCGCCAATTGGAATAAAAAATTAATTAATTATTCATAAATTATTAATTTTTTATTTAACAATTAAAATTCATTAAAAAAAAAACTCTCCCTCCTTTCTTCCCATGGGTTGCACTATCGCAACTGAATTCTAACAAGGAAGAAGGTCAAAAAATTTCGACTCCAATCAACACTCAAATCTCCTCTAAAACATACAAAATTCATACGAAAACATGTTCAATCTTCTTTCTCCCTCCCTCCCTCCCAATTCTACACTGCCCCGCACCATGAATTCCTTCTCTACTCCATAGTACCTCTAATACAAAACCCCAATTCAAATTCCCCAAAAACTCAAATCACATATGAAAAATTTTGAAATTTGTTGTAAGGATCCGAGCTTTGAGAATGGTTTCTCTTAAAGATTCCCATTCTTGCTCTAACCACCACTCCTCGTTGCAAACCCGCAACTTCTATTTTCCCTCATCCACTAAAATCCATCGCCAAACTGGCTGCTTCATACACACCATCTGTTCCAACATCTACTAAGACGACCACACACGAACCTCATTCGCCGCCGAAAGATCATCTTTTGTCTTCGAGAACCTGACCGATTCGATCATTGACATGCGCCTCGGTGAGCTCGCCATCTGCAGTCGAAAGATTACCTTTAGTCCGAAAAGATTCAAATGGCTAGAAGCCAATACATTATGTCTCGAAAGCTCTTCTCTAACCAGAAACAAGATATCCCAAGATAGAAAAAGTTGATTTTAGCATGGTGGCAAGGAAGGTCAAGCCATACTTTAATTCATTTCGGATCATGGTAATGACTGAATTCCTACTCTAGTCGATTCTCCACCAGTCCTGACGGCTCCATCATAGTTAACAAGTGGGCTATTGAGTTGGGACAACATGGGTTGATCTACAAATCTAAAATCACCATTAAACGACAAGCACTCGTAGGCTTCATTATTGAGTTTACTCTGGAATCCAAGACTGCAGAAGAGTCCGCCTCAACGCCCAATCATGCCAGCGCGCATTAGCATTTATATGTTCATGGGTCTACTAACCTGAATGACGTTGGAGCTAGGCTAGTTTTATTCACCGTAGATGGATTTGTTCTAGAGCAAACACTGAAGTTTCTGTGCCAATAACAATGAAGTTGAGTACGAGGCTTTACTAGCAGGACTAAAGGCCACCCTCAAGCTTAAGGTAAAATAGATAGTTATCTTTGCGACTCTTTGTTAATGGTAAACCAGGTCACGGGTGAATACATAGCTCACAAATCTGATCATGGTGATGTACCTAGAGAAGGCCAAATAGTTATGGGCCAAGTTCACCAAGTATGATATTCATTAGCTCCTGTGAAGTGAAAACTGCCAGGTAGACACAGTGGTTAACCTGGGATCCTCTCTAGGCCACCGGCTTCGCCAAAGCATGCTCTTTGAATACTTTGAAGCTCCAAGTATTACGAGGCCAACTTCACAATAAGTCGTAATGGTGGACATGCGTGAGAGCCGGATGGACTAAATATTAGCCTACATTCGACATGGCACCCTTTCGGATGATTGGGCATGGCGAGGAAGGTTGTCCAAAGGGCATCCAGGAAGGTCGACCACACTTGCTTTGTGTTATTTCAGTGCAAAGACTAAGCATCCTAATGGGCATACACTCTGGAGTTTGTGGTAGTCACTTCGCAGGCTTAACACTTGCCTAAAAAGCCTTCACAACTAGTTATTACTGGCCATCAAAGACTCCTAGGATTGTGCTTAAACATGTGGCAAATATCAAAGATTCTCCTTGATAACTCACCAACCAGCTGATGAGCTGAATTCGATTATGAGTATGTGACCATTTATACAGTGTAGACTCGATCTGGTTGGACCCTTCAAGCAAGGCAGGGGCAATAAAGAGTGTTTGGTGGTTGCAACCGACTATTTCACCAAGTGAATCAAGGCTGAGCCACTCTCGAATCACTAGAGCTGCCATAAAGCTTTTATGTGGAAGAGATCTACATATTCGATGTCCTGCACACCATTATCTCCGATAATGGGTTTTCGACGCCTCATTTTGACTCCTAGGTATCGAACAAAAAGTATCCTCAAATGTTTGAAGAAGATGCCCGAAGCAAGCAAAAGTGTATGGCCAGATGAAATACTCGGACTTCTACGGGCATATAGAACAATGGTGCACAAAGCCATATATGATACGATTTTCTCGCCAGCATTCGGAATCAAGGCCTTCATCCTCATTCAAAGAACCCTTCTAACTTTCCATACTGCAGAGCAGACTGAGATGGAAAATGCCGACATCATTCAACAAAAATTGCACTTCCTAGAGAAAAGAAAAGATATTGCCGAGATTCGCCTAGTTACGTACCAATAACAAGTCAGGTCCTACTACAACAAGAGGGTTAAACCCCGAATCTTTTAAGTCCGACACCTGGTGTTGCGTGAAGTGTTTCAGAACACCCAACTCCAAGAGAGGGAAAACTAGGTGCAAACTAGGAAAGCCCTATCAAATTGCCGGAGTGAGGCAAAGAAACTTACAACCTCGCCACTCTCGACGAATCACCCATACAGAAATGCTGAAATCTCCAAGCTAAAACATTACTCCAGGCTAACCAAGGCATGCACTTCGGGATAACCTGTAAAAGCAGTGCGTTCTCCATGCCAACTTGGGAGTTTTTGTAATCGAGACCTAGCTATGGAGGGTACGCAAGGTGTTACATACCATTCTTTCTTGTCTAATACGTCAAGTTTTGTGAAAAATAATTGTGTATGATTCATATGTATTTCCTAAAGCGCACAGACTTGATCCAAGCCTTACTGAAAGCTTTCCTTAAAAGGTATTTCGTAGACCGTATCTTTTAAGGGAACTTCTCCAGCACTAGGTGAAGGTGGTTGGGCCCAATCCTAGTTGCGGAAGT